TTCCCTCCGCTCGCCTTGTTTATTTATCCAACAACCATTTATCCTTTATTTATCCACTCCATTTGCTTCTATTATTCGATCAATATTCTCTGGGATTCTACGGTGTGACTTGAACTTATTAACTGCCCACTTAGCAACTCTACCTTCTAATCCTTTGTCATATGCATCCATATATCTCCAAGATTTGCGTGCAAACTTGCGAATAGTAATTATAGGCACACTATTAAGGACTTTTGGAATCTGCTCCAATAATTCTGTATAGTTATAGCTGCATGCCTTTCTAGTTTCCCATTTCACATAACTCCAATAGCGCTCTATAAAGTTACATTCACAATGAAATTTTGGATATCTTTCTAAGATATGATTCACATTAACGACTGCTTTCTCCAACAATGACCACTATTCAAGAAAGTTGGGCTGTAGGGACATAATTCTTTGTGCGCAGCAGTCAAACCTTTTGAATTCTTCATTAGTACGTTTCCCTGAGCATTTTTCACATACCAAACGGATCTTCCTCGTGGGCCAAAGGTTGCATTTTGAAAGTACTTGCTTGATGCCTTTTGGCTTTCCTCTCAATTGTACTACTGGATGGTCATCGGAAAATATCATCGATTATATGTGCTTCTCACCATACTCATCAATATACCAATCATTACACATTTTAGGCTGTGCTCCCCCGGGACTCAAGTTTATTTTTGTTGCAACCAACGCATCCTCTGCCATAGAATTGTGGTTGGTTGATTGATCAAAACAGAAAACTCCGGTACATTCAGGATACAATATCTCGAATATTGGAATTGCTCTATAGACAAGTTGGTCCAACATATGCTCCGATCTCCAATACCCATCAGCTTGGACAGAACGAAGAACAAATGATTCCTTGTATTTGATATGTGGATTTTCGTACAATTGCTGGTCGGATAGCTGTAATAACCCGTGACATGGACAAAGAAAAGCCGAAACCATAATGGAACATTCCATGTGTTTTGAGCGTAGAATATCCTTTCCTTCTTGTACCCAGATTCTCCATTATCTATCGTTGGCATAGAAATGGCATTCGTCGTGCATTATTTGAATGAATTCTCTTTCTCCCGGCTGGAGCTGGAGCTCCAATACAACATCTAACATGCTCTCATCAAAGTTTTTCATATTATTCTTGTATGTAAACATCCTTTTTACCCATTCCTTCCTATATTTTACTACGTCTGAATATTCGTGCCCATCAAAATAAATACCCTTCCTTCTTTCATCATACGTAAATCTCCATATATGCATATAGTTATGGCATGTCTTCTCAGAGATAGAGTTCTTTTTGATATAGCCAGTCAAATTTGGAAACAATATCTCTTCGATGTATGCCTTTAGATTACTGGGAGATCGAGCTTCTGATTTTTATTACCGTAACCATGTCTGGCAGCTTTCGGAAAAATCTTTGTCTTCCACCAAACTTTCGAGTTTTGTATGCTTCCCTTGGCGGTAAACAAGAAGCTCCCCCGTCTTTATGAAATAATTACCCCATTTCCGAATACACTTGGACATATACTCCCCTTTCTTCCATATATCTTGTGCAATTTGCTTGCTGGCATCTATCTTACCTCACCCTTCTAACAATAATTAAATAAATTGACGTATGCTCAAAAGGCGTAAATAGTCGTATGTAAAGACTTGACAGTTTGTCTTGACATTCTTTCCTATCGAACACTTCTGATCGAGTATCTCCAAGTAGGCACAAAGGTTTTTCAATAATTCGCGTGCATTCGGTAATGATGATGTACCAGCACCAGGCTGGAAAGTAGCTTGAGAGGCTTCTAGTGACGGAGATATCGATATATCACTTTGGAAAACTGGTTGAAAAAATGCATCGAGCTTTTTTATTTCCTTCGCGTGCTCTTCGTATTTTTCCTTTTCCCTTTTTTGCCTCCATATCGTTGTCCTTGAATTTCCAGTATATACTGATCTAAGACTGTTTGCAGCACCTTTATGCTACCCGAGAATATTATTGATAAATCTTTTCCCTATTTCTTGAAACTCTGTCAACTCTTCTTCTGCCTATACATCCATTTCGATGATTTTTTCATTTTCGGCAGCGGTCATTGCTTTTGAGAGATCCGTTTTGATAATGTCTTCATTTTCGGTGGCAGTCGTTGCTTTTGAGAGGTCCGTTTCGATAATGTCTTCATTTTCGGCGGTCATTGCTTTTGAGAGGTCCGTCTCTTGACAAAGAAAGCGGCTCTTCTTCCTGGGAAAGTTGGCTATTTGCTTTTGCTTTTTTATGGAAGGTGCCATTGAGCATTTAAATATTTTCTGATGGGCTGGGCTCAGGAGGCAGATATGATGTAAGTGGCTCTTAAAGTTTATTTTAAATGTTCGCTTAAATGCTAATTAAGCGGTGTTTCTTAAAATGATTAGGTGCAATTAATTTTTTGGGGGGCTTAGTATGAGGCTTAGACCATATGATCATTAATATCGAACCAATAAAAATTATTCACGTGCAGTGTATTATTGTAATTGACCAATAAAATTGATTTCACGTGATAAAAAAATCACATGATATGTTTCAATTCTGACCAAAATATATAATAAATACCCGATTTAAAATGCTTATAACTTTTTATTTAAAACTTAAATTAAAATTCTGACCGGTAGTTTAATAGTACATATCTTAAATAACATTATTACCGGTTTATTTTTTTTAAATTCGATTTATTAAAGGCTCTAATAGCCTTTAAATATTACGTAATTTATTGGTGAGTTAAGATTTCCCGCACCATATAAAAATCAAGAATTGTTACACATTTTAAGAAAGAAAATGAGAATATCAAATAGAATAATTATTAATCGACTAATAAATTAATCTCTAATTAAATATAAGTTATACCTAAATAGTAGTAGTTATACAAGTTAAATCTCTCTATAATAACATTAATATTCAGACTAATTTTGTTTTTATAAAGAAAATGGGCATTATATGGAGATCAATTTTCTTATAGTAATATATGAATAATTTGGTCACTATAGAGAGAATATAAAAGTGTCGTTATGGAGGTTGACTTGTATATTCTTGACTTTAATTCTAATTCTAATCCTATCCTAATTAATGGTTACCCCATAAATCCACATGACTCATACCACGTGAGCAAAACTTTTGAGTCTTTTGGCTCGCTAAGAATAACGACAAGTATCTTCGTAAAAAGCGAATCTATAGTTCAAATTGAGTATCGGTATTATTTTTCAATCTGATTATACAATCACACCCCAAACATGAGTATAGCCACACAAAAAAATTGACGATGCATAATAATGCAGACGTAAACAATTAGTGTTACTATTTCACTTCTTGCTTAGCTGGCAGATAACGTAGTTTTTTCGGTCTAGCCATAATTAAAAAGATAATCAACCGTTACTAAATTCTATAAATTCTCATGAATTGGCGTGAACATGTAGCGAAAATTCTTCGAAAACTAAAATCAAAATGAGTCTCGAAGAAACAATTTGCATGAATTATAAACTTGAGATGCCGAAATTTAATTCATTTGAAGAAGAACGGCAGCATAGAAAACAACACATGGCCGCAGCATTTCGTCTTTTTGCAAAATACGGGTTTGATGATGGTATTATTTTTATTATTTATTATGCGTTAAATAAAGAACTGCTTAACTCATATTTCTTTAGGATTCGTTGGTCATATTTCATGTCGAGATCCGGAATTTCCCGATCGTTTCTGGTACTAAATATTATTTTTGTAAATCAATGGATAATTGTTAATAAGAATTAATTATATATGAAATATGTGTTAGGTTAAATCCGTTGGCCATGCATTTTTCGCAAATTAAAACTTCCGATTTAGTATTAGTGTCGCATGATGGTGAACTACTTTCACAAAATAAGGGAAAAAAAAGCTTAATCAATCGCGCTGCCGTATCGGCTCATGCAGAAGTACACGAAGCTAGACCTGAAGTCGTTTCTGTCTGCCATTGGTGTGAACATAAACCTATAATTAATACTCATTATGTACTAAATTAAAATAATGATTCTTTATTATAGTCATACAGTGTATGGACGCGCTTTTTCTTCCCTCGGTCGTCCACTCGATCCTATTACTCAAGACGCTTGTGTTTTTTTTAATGATCACACAGTATTCGATGACTTTAGTGGCGTGGTATTTGAAAAGAGCGAGGGCTCTCGTATAGCACAAGCTCTTGGACCCCGTAAAGCTATTATTCTTCAAAATCATGGATTGCTGACTGTTGGACATTCGGTAGACGAAGCCGCATGGTGGTTTATCGCATTGGAGCGCGCTTGTCAAGCACAGCTACTTGCTGATAGCGCTTGTGCTAAAGGTGTAAAGCCTATTAAAATTAACGAAAAATATGCGAGAAAAACGCATGATTTCTTGGGGACGCCATTCGCCGGTAATTTACTTTTTCATTCAGCATTAGTAAATATTTGCTTAAGCTATAACCTATATTTTTTATAGGATGGCTCAATTTTCAGCCACTTTACGAAATGATTGTTTCTGAACAACCTGAACTTTTGAAATAGTTTATTTCAAATTCTGCCAGTTATTCTTTTTTTGAAAAGCCGTTAGTGATTTACACTATGGTTTCTTTTCATTATTACACGTCGCTTATCTTTCGATTATATCAATGAATTATGCAAATATCACGTCATATCTTTAATTTAAACATGAATTTTCTTCCATATACAATATATTATACGTATAATTATAACTCTAATTTAAATTTCGCACGAGCCGTCGTTTCCGACTTAAGAGCTTTCGCAAAAGCACGTGTTTCCATTTGACCAAAAGTTAAAGTGAATTCCATTGGACGACTAAAACCAAGATGAACATCAGGTAGTTCCTTAAAAAGAAATTTATTTTAAAGTTAACGTTAATATCGATATGAATTAAGTTATAAAGATGTCAAGGTGCTCACCAAATTAAGTTTTCCGAAAAGTTCCATTCCTGGTTCATCACAGTATTCTCCATCATCAGCCTTAGTTTTGTAGATAAAGAAATTACACTCAGACTGATCTTTATACGCCGGATAAACTATTTTTTTGAATTCTTGGTCGACTGGAACTTGAGTGCCCTTTTTAGCTAATCTTTCAAAATAACGAACATGTTTTTCCGAATCTATCATTACGAGTTTCGAGACTGGATCAGCAGGGGTCCAATCACGTAACATTCTAATTCCATAAGTATTTTTGAGAACACGAGTTTGAATTGTATCCGTTTTAAGACCTGCATAAAATAATGATAAGAATGAATATAAAATTTTTATTAACTTGCATTTTAGTCAAACTCACCATAAAGGACAGCTCCTTTCACAACGCTAGCAATTGGATGAGAAGGCACAGAAATATAAGAAATTCGATTACTAAACTCATTTCGAATTCTATGTAACAAGTATTTAGATTCCGAAAAACCACCAACTAAAAATATTGCTGAAATATTCTTGCTTGAATTCGATAGTTGTCGATGAATAAGATTAATGATTTTCTCGATAACTTTATCAAAGAATGATTTGACTGTTGCAAAATCCAATTCTATCATCCATTCCATTGATTCTAACCTATCTCTTTCCTCTCCTTTAACATATTGCAAAAGAACGGGACAAACTTCTTCAAGATCAATTTCTTTATCCCTCCATGTATTTAAATTCCCATCGAATGGAAGCTTTATTTGTGTGCAGAAATATTGAATCAAATATTGGAGCTGAGGATAATGTTTCTCCTCTAACAATCGAAAAGCAGAGAGTCCAATTTTACGAGCAAGAAACTTTTTAAATTCTTTATCAATATATGTAGATCCGCAAAAATCACCAGTACTTTCAGTCATTTCGCTTAATTTCGAATTAGGAAGAAGAGTGCGAACTGTCAAATCGACCGTACCGCCGCCACAATCAACAATCATAAATGAATCTGCGTACACGAGAGATTATCGAGTGTCAAAAATGCCAAATCGACTGAACATAAATAAAAATTTTGCCTCACCTCCTTCGTTCAAAGGATGTTCACTTAAAGTTTCAAGACAATACATGGCAGCAGCTTCCGCTAAATAAAAATAAAAGTCAAGTTTAATATTGGGATTTTTGTTATTCGTATTTTTGTATACATACGTTCGGTAGTAAATTCCAGGTTTTCTGATTCAACTGTAAGTAGGAGTTCAGCATCGTAGGCACATTGTCGCATGATGGCGCGAACTTTCTCATCGTATTCAACAGGTACAGTGAGAATAATTCGAACATGTTTAAAGTAAATTAACCCTGGCCATCGGTCAGATATTTTGGCCTTCATAAGCTTTATTTTATAAAATTTAATTAGATTCAAATTTAACATATAGTTAAACTTTTACAAAAAATACCTTTCCAATTTCACATAAATAATCCGTGACTGCTTTTCTTGGATTTAAACCTAAAGGTAACTTTGGTTTTTTTTCGTCGGCAATTTCGCCAAGATGAAGTTTGAATAACTCAGCAATCTGAATATCTTCAGATTTTGAATTTTTACTTTTTCTGGAAATCTTTTCGGCTAACGCAGGTAAACCCCACTTAACAACATTGAACTTGTTATCATATCGAATAACCGTATTTGTTTTGAATTCGCCTTGCGTTTCGAGCCTTTTTCAAAATTCAATCAATATAAATGTCAAATAATCGATATATAATACGTATAGTCAGTACACACCAAATATCGTTAGTCTCTATTTTATTGGGTGTTTTCACATTCGCGTAAGAGAATCCTGAAGTTTTTTATTTAGCCAAATTTCTTAGAATTTAATCATATTTTATGTGCGTGTGTTAGTATGCGTATACCTGAATAAGTTGTTCCAAAATCTAGAATTAAAGACACATTAATTGTCTTAGTTAAAAGTATATCGATATCGTTTCTTTGATATTCAACACATACCAATTCCTACTACTACTCGTATATCACTGCTCGAATTCGTCATTTTCAAAGACTACTAGGATTTCGATTGAAAACTATATTAAAGGAGTTTTTAATAATACATTTAAATTGTTCGGAGTTTGGTGTATAAAAGCGTAATCGTAACTTTTGTGTTACTTTTATGCCAAAAAAAGAACAAAGCCAGAAGAAAACAGGTTTCTGCAATCGGAATACGTAATCCTATGTTTTGATTCTAGTTTATTGTATAATGGAACATTCCTAAACACGAACACAAGGTTTTCTATAGAATTTCAACTATAACTAAAAAACAAAAATAACAAATAAATTCCAACCAGAACTTAGAATATAGATTTTTTCACCGCACTGGAATACGAAATCAATTTGCCAAGTAAACCTTCATTTTTTTCTTGAGAAACCTCTGATTTATTGCAAATTACTACCTTGGCTCTCATATAGATTTGCCATTTATTGGGATCATCAAGGTTGACACCGATTGCTGGAAACGCACAGATATCGACAACCATGTCCGAATCATCTTCACCGTTCGAAACCCATTCCATCAAGGTTTCATTTAATTGATCTCCATTTTCGAACCACCGAAAAGTAGCAATCGGTTCCTGGGCCAAAAGACGAAACTTGAAAATACGAGTAACACTAAGTGTAATATCTCCCGCGCGTTCATCTTGTTCTTTACGTTTCTCATGAGTTACGATTGTTCGATAATTCATCAATGTATCGAGGAGATTATATTTTGTATCGGCGACAAATTTGTGGTTTTTTTTCCCGAAACCACTATTTCCTAACATCGCGTAAACTGCTTGGCGAATTTTGATTCCAGTTATTCTAACCATTTCATCATTTTTAGCACGAGTTTCAGCAAAATTTTCAATGATTTTTGTAATTGTTTCATTATAGATTAAGAGTTGACGTTCCAATGAATTATCTTCTGCATTAGATTTTGTTGAGCTACGTGTATTTATATATTTAGCATAGTCGTTAAGGATAGTTTCAATAGTCAATCGTTGCAAAGCGGCACTTATCGATGGTTTATGTTCAATATTCGCTTTTGAATTATATTTGTTAAAGAGTTGCTTTACACCACTTTCTTTTACGATGTATGCCTTGCCTTTCAGTTGGGTAAATTCACGTAAAGAATTTTGAAGTGCCTTGATATCTTTATTAAGGTTGACGGAATTATTTACATCTTCATCATCCCAACGAACATTTCTAGCGTTCCCAAGAGCCGATTGAAATTGAGCCGCTTCCGCTTTTAAAGAAATGACTTCGTTTTGAAGATTTTCGGTTGTTTCTTTGTTCTTCAAACGCTCGATTTCCCAGTTTCGATTTTGGGTTTGATACGATGTGTCTTTATTGTTTAGCTCGATAGCTAACTTTTTATACGCTTCATTAAACCTTTCTATCATAGATTCCAAGTCATTGTTTTTCTGTTGGAGTTCAGAAATTTCTTGGTTGAATGCTTTCTTCTCTTTTTTCCATTCCTTGTCTTCTTTGGTATATAAAGCTTTTAGACCGTTGTGATCGTTTTGAAGCGCCTGATAAGCTTTTGAGAATTCAGATCTTTGATAGTTAATCGTCTGAAGGTGATCGTTAATCGTCTGGTTTTGTTCGTTAATCGTCTGGTTTTGATCGTTTATCGTCTGGATTTTATCGTTAATCGTCCGTTCACAAGTTTTACGAAATTCATTAAAATCTCCTTTAATCTTTTGATTAAATTGACGTAATTCTGAATTTTCCTCCATAAGATGTTTCACCTCAGCAGAAATTTCAGCAGATTGAGCAGCAATTGGAAACTTATTTGGGTCAGGGTCTGTCGACACATAACATGCTGATTAGCTAAATTTAAATTTTAATGAACATATGCGAAATTCCCCACCTTTTTTATATTCGTGGCCGCTTTTATTTTCACGGGAGGATTGTAATTGCTCGTTTTCACGGTCGGAGCGTCCTGTTCCGTTCTGCTCATTCACGCCATGATTATTTATATTTTTTTTTTGAATTTTTCCCTGATTATTACTCATTTTTATTTTCTGGGAATGAAGAAGACTTTTTATTTAATTATTAATTACATGTACAAGCAAAGAATACGACTATTCAAAAACTAGCGCTAGTTCATTATTTTGCTTATATATCTCATTTCTGGTTTTTCATGCGTTAGCATTAGTTACACAGTCAAACCTTGATGCCTACACTACATGTATACGTTCGCAGTAAATCTACTAGATTAACCGACTGAATTTTTCATTTTAGCCCGTGCCGTTTCATTAAATAATTTAAGATGCTAAATAGTGCAGCAGTATACATGTAATTTTATTTATAATTCTAGCCTAAAGCTTGCCTTAGCAGTCGTTCCCGATTTGAGGCTTCGTGCAAAAGCACGTGTTTCCATTTTACCAAAAGTCAAGGTAAACTCGACTGGACGATCGAGGCCAAGGTTAACATCAGGCAATTCCTTTATAATAAAATAACAAGCAATCCTTAATACTAATTATCTAGAACTTCATTAACAAAATTTCTAAAGTTTACCAAGCCAAGTCTTCCAAATAAGTTCATTTCTGGTTCGTTGCAATATTTTGCATCGTTCTTACTAGTAGTGTATATTTTAAAAGATGAAACTTTCTGATCTGCAAAGGTTGGCCAAGACGTATTTTTGAATTCTTGGTCTACGTCAACTTCCGTCCCTTTTTCAGCTAATTTTTTGAAAGCTAAAATCTTCTTTTGATCATTTAGAACGTCCATTTTTTCGATTGGATCATCAGGGGTCCAATCGCGGTAAAGCTCGATCCCGTAAGCTTTTTTGAGTACACGTGTTTTAATTGTATCCATTTTCAGACCTAAACAGAAAAAATGCAATGAAATTTGTAATATAAATTAATTCTTAATTATAAACAATAATTACCATATATAACAGCACCCTTAATAACACTGGTGACTGGATAAGACGGGACTGAAATATACGGAACTTGGCGATTAAATTCCTGTCGGACACGCTGTAACAAGTACTTGGATTCAGAAAACCCGCCAACCATAAAAATTGCAGCAATAGTCTTTTCCGAATTGGCCAGTTGTTCACGAATTAGCCTTAAAATGTTTCCGATGACTTTATCAAAGAAATATTTAACTGTCCGAAAGTCTAATGTAATAACCCATTCACATCCTTCTAACTCTTCTCTTTCCTCGCCTTTGACATATTGCATAATAACGGGACAAATTTCTTCAATATCAATTTCTTTATCTTGCCAGTTTTTTTCATCACCATCGAATGGAAGTTTTATATTCGCGCAGAAATCTTGAATCAAATATTGTAGCTTAGGATAATGTTTCTCTTCTACCAATTTGAGAGCTGATTTTCCGATTTTAGCGCCTAGAAACTTTTTAAATTCTTTATCAATATATGTGGAGCCGCAGAAATCTCCGGTACTTTCAGTTAATTCACTTAGTCTGGAATTGGGGAGTAGGGTACGAATTGTCAAATCGATCGTACCGCCGCCACAATCTACCACTAAAAAGGAATCTGACAAAAAGAAAAACAGTAGATTTTAAAACATCACCAATATTTATATATATTACAGTTTGTACATGTATTACCTCCAACTTTCAATGGATGTTCGTTCAAATTTCCGAGGCAGTAAATCGCAGCAGCTTCAGCTAATAAATTTAAAAAGATTATTTTCTATAAAATTTTACTAATTTCTACTATTTATGACTTACGCTCTGTCGTGAATTCCAAATTTTCTGATTCAAGTGTAAGTATAAGTTCAGCATCGTAGGCACATTGTCGCATGATAAAACGAATTTTTTCGTCATATTCAACCGGTACAGTGAGAACGATGCGAACGTGTTGATAATAAATTAATCCTGGCCACCGAGCAGATATTGTGCTTTTCATGAGCTTAATATTTACACAATTCAATATAAACTTTAGGTTCGCATTTCAAAAATTAGACATGGATAATAAAATAATACCTTTCCCATTTCTCGCAAATAATCAGTGACTGCTTTTTTAGGATCTAAGCCTGAGGGTAATGGTGGTTTATTTTCATAAGATATTTTCCCGAGATGTAATTTAAATAATTCAGCAATTTTATGGGAGCTATTAGATGTTGAGTTTTTGTCTTTTTTGCTCGTTCTCTCAGCTAATGCTGGTAAACCCCACTGAATCAATTCAAATTTTTCATCGTATCGAATCACTGTGTTTGTTTTATTTTCACCCGTCTTAGAAGGCCTATTTTTCAAAAAGATATGTATCAATACGTCATTCTATACTAACATTATTTAGAAAGATGCATACCATATATCATTTGTTTCAATTTTTTCGGGATTCGCCACGTTAGCATACGCGAATCCTAAATTCTCTTGTCAATAAAATTTTTACATTGATATCATTCATTTCTGCTAATTATACAAACCCGAAAACGTTGTTCCAAAATCTGTATAATAGAATATAAAAAACCACAGATAATTAATAAATGCGCTTTAATTGATTCTTCAATATCCATATCACGTAAATTTATTTAGTTCAAACTTACCAATACCGACTACCACACGGATATTACTGCAAGAAGTTGTCATTTTAATAGTATATAAAAATCCCAAGTGTTGTAGGGAGTTGAAGTAATAAATTCCGAAATAGGGCTGTTCATACGATAACGCGCGATACATGTAGCAATGATTGACATGTTACATTGATGTGACTACATGTATAGTACACAAATTACATGTAGTATGCAAGAAGACTTTCTATTTTCTTTGGTAGTAAAAAATTTCTGTTTTTGAAAATTGGCGTTAAACATCAAACAAATTTATTTGATTGGCTAGCTGTAAGCTATACAATGTGGCATTAACGTCAATGTTTTTCTAAGTGATCATCAATAACTATCTATACAACTAATACATGAACATGTACATGTGATTCTTTTTAATTCGCAAATATGCTCAATTACTACTCGGTCTGTAAAGTCTCTCTGGATATTGAAATAAAAAAAGAATTAACAGAGAATTCTCTATATCTTATCAGAAACGACTCCAGAATTATGTAAATATTATGTAGCAATTTAAACAATAGTAAATAGCGAAATGATGAAATTCAAGAAGTATTGTCGAGAGTTCCAAAGCCAAGTTAATGAAATGAAATCAAGAATAGAAAGTTGCAATCTCAAACTAAACAAGAAATACGCATTATAACAAACTAATCAAAAACTCTTAAAGCATCGAAATGAAATCAGGTCTTTAAAGTGGAATCGGTTCAATTTCAATCGGCACTGCCAGGATGATGTATATATTAATAATTCTGTCAATAGTTATCAAAAATTTCAAACATCCTTACGCGAATCTATCCATTCAAAATACAGCATAAAAAGAATGGATTGAAGTAGCTTAGTCATCGACAAAAGTGCCTTTAAATGGTCAAATATAATAAATAACATTCCCATTAGAGTACTCTTAAGTATCATAAAATATTTAATCAGAATAACTTGAGCCAAATCTACGAGAAATTACGCGCTGTTCATGATCTCGGGAAAAAAATAACGAATTGTCAATTTTATAAATTATCAGCTATTTATTAGTAAATTATACATAGTGATATTTGTATTCTCGGTTTCATCTTCTGATTCAAGAAACGAATGTTATTTTTTTGTAGTATAGAATAATGCTTCCAAAAAAATCCAAGAGGTTTTCAAAAAATTGGAATCAGCACATTTCAGCTAAAGTCTTTATTTATCATTAGAAATTAAAATGATTTCATTTAGGAGTTATTACGTTTATGATAGCATTATTTGCGTACGTCGCCAAGAAAAGCACGCACCTAACACAGTCACAGGTTTAATGAGTCGATTCGTAAATGACTTTGAATTGTATGTATGACGGGGGAGGGGTTCGTTAATCAGTATGTAACCATAGATTCGTGACGTTAACGAAAGGAATTTTATCTTTGAGAATAAGGACAAGTGATGAATGCAGAATGAATCGTATATAAAAACGATTCATCGCGCTTTTTATTAGAGTAGTTCGGAAATTAATCTCAAAATGATGCCTATAGTTAATTGCAATCTACTAAAATATTCTCGTAAAAGATATATTTAAGAAATAATATAGGAAGATTAGAAAAATAATCAAACTCACTTCAATTCTAAGATGCAGGAACTAGCAGCTTCAACTTTCGGATTCAATGGATAAAACAGCCGCGGAACTCAATAAATAGGAACTCGCCTAATCATTTGAGTAACAGCGAATAATACATGTACATATACATTGTGTTTGTCACAACGAAGTCCAGTCATACGTTATATGTAACGGTAAAGGCAATAAATTAGGCATGGATCAAGTGCTCAGTATGCGCAGCATCTAGCTATTGCAGGAACCAGTTTCTTCTGGTTTTGGGTCGATTGTTTCACAAAACAGTACTGGCATCGGTATATATTTCATAGATTTTGTTTTATCGTTAGAATAACCGATTTTCTTTGTTTTATTCTTTAATTCAAACCAACAAAAAAATGACGAATTCGAGCAGTGATATTCGTGTTGTAGTAGGAATTGGTATGACTAAAGAAGCGATCTATACAAAATACTTTTTGATAAAGACAATTAATCGTGTTTTTTTAATCTCTAACGTAAATAGATTTTGGAACAACTTATTCAGGTATATACGCTCGCAATGAAACGATAATAGAAGAGCAAGTATTTAATAAATTTGCCGAAATCAATAAATAGGATTTGCTTACGCGAATGTCAACACACCCCATAACATAGAGACTAACGACAATTGGTAAGTACTAGTTAACTAACTAAATCTGTATTATAAGTTAACGTTAAATTTTGGAAAAAAGGCCCGAAAAAAAAGGCGAATTCAAAACAAATACGGTGATTCGATATGATAAAAAACTCAATGTTATCAAATGGGGTTTACCTGCTTTAGTTGAAAAAATCTCTAAAAAGGGTAATAATTTAAAATCTGAAGAAGCTCAGATTGCTGAGTTATTCAAACTTCATCTCGGCGATATTGTCGAAGAAGAAAAACCTAAGTTACCTTTAGGTTTAGATCCCAGAGAAGCGATCACTAATTATTTGTACGAAATTGGAAAGGTATTTTTACAAACGTTAATTATATATGTTAAATTTAATCTAATTAGAATTTCATAAAAATAAAGCATATGAAATCCAGAATATCTGAACGATGGCCAGAATTGATTTACTTTAAACATGTTCGAATTGTTCTCACTGTGCCCGTTGAATATGATGAGAGAATTCGCGCTATCATGCGACAATGTGCCTACGATGCGGATCTTATACTTACACTTGAATCAGAAAATTTGGAATTTACTACTGAACGTACGTGCATGTAAATACAACGAATAGAAAAATCTAATATTAAAACTAAGTTTTCGTATTTGTTTAGCGGAAGCTGCTGCAATTTATTGTCTTGAAAATCTAAATGAACATTCATTAAAAGAAGGAGGTGAAATAATTTTTATTCTTTCTATCTTTTATTGGATTTGACTTATAAAATTTTATATTTTGTGTATGCAGATTCATTTATGATTGTTGATTGTGGCGGCGGGACAGTCGATTTGACAGTTCGCACTATACTTCCCGACTCGCAATTAAGTGAACTCACAGAAAGCACTGGTGATTTCTGCGGCTCCACATATATCGACAAGGAATTCAAAAAGTTTTTGGGTGCTAAAATTGGAAAATCAGCTCTTAAAATTATGGAGGAGAAGCATTATCCTCACCTTCAATATTTGATTCAATACTTCTGCACTCATGTAAAGCTTCCATTCGATGGTGATGAAAGAAACTGGCGAAATAAAGAAATTGATCTTGAAGAAGTTTGTCCCGTTATTATGCAATACGTAAAAGGCGAGGAAAGAGAAGAGCTAGAAGGGTGTGAATGGCTTATCGAATTAGACTTCCAGACGGTTAAATATTTCTTCGACAAAGTCATCGGCAATATTTTAAAGCTAATCCGCGAACAACTGACCAAGTCGGAAAAGACTATTTCTGCAATTTTTTTAGTTGGCGGGTTTTCTGAATCCAAGTACTTGTTACAGCGTGTCCGACAGGAATTTGATCGCCAAGTTTCGTATATTTCAGTCCCATCTTATCCAGTCACTAGTATTGTTAAGGGTGCTGTTATGTATGGTAATTATTTTACACACGATAAAATAATAATTTATATATGAAGAATTCATTGCGACTGCATTTTTCTATTTAGGTCTGAGAATGGATACAGTTAAAACACGTGTACTCAAAAAGAATTACGGAGTCGAGCTTTACCGCAATTGGACTTCCAATGATCCAATTGAAAAAATGGAAATTATAGATGGTCAAAAGAAGATTTTAGCTTTCAAGAGATTAGCTAAAAAAGGGACTGCAGTTGATGTTGACCAAGAATTTAAAAATACGTCCTGGCCAACCTTTCCAAATCAGAAAGCCTCCTCTTTCAAAATCTATACTACTAGTAAGAACAATGGAAAATATTGTAGTGATCCAGAAATGGAATTGTTTGGAAAACTTCACTTAGTAAGCTTTGAATATTATTATTTAATGAAAGTTCTATATAGTTTAGGTTAATGATGACCTTTTATTTTTATAAAGGAATTGCCTGACGTTAGTCATGGTCTCGATCGTCCAGTCGAGTTCACTTTGAGTTTTGGTAAAATGGAAACTCGTGTTTTTGCTCGAAGTCTCAAGCCGGGAATGACTGCTAATGCAACATTTAGACTAGAATTATAAATACATAGAGAAAGCATTACGTATCAATATTTAAATTATTTTGACTAAATTTCGATAATAATTATACATAATTTTGATTAACATTAAGAAATAAGCAAAATTTTGATGAATTATGTCATAATTTTGGCCAACATTATTTATCATGTCAAAAAAATTGACCTGAATTAGAAGCACTACATAACAACATAAAATAAAGTCGATTAGCATTAAGAAATTAAGTCAAATTCAGGCTTAAGTCATGTAATTTTATATAAATCCTTTGAAAATTCAAATTATTATGATATATTTTATTGACACCTTTCAAATAGCTAATTAGATTGTGTGTAAATAAAAATTATTTATATAAAAACAAGATGCTTTATTGTAAAAGAACAAATATTTAAGATAATATTAATATTATAAACTAATTATATCATATTTTGATAAAAATAATAAATAAATTAAATTTAATTAATTATTATAATTATCAAATTAAATTATATTTTATTTTTAAATTTTCAACTTGCTCTTATATAATGAAAGATTATTTATATTTATATATTTTTAAAATTTATAATATATAAAATAATTTTAAAAAGAGATCAAAGTAATATAATATACTAAAAAAATATTAAAATTACTTAATAAAAATAATATATATATATAATAATAAACAAAAATAATTAGAATTTGAAAAAAATCTATTATAATTTAATAAAAAATTATTTAAATAATATAAAAATTTATATATATATATTTTAATATTTATAAAAAAATTAATTTAATATTATTTATTTAATAATATTAATATTATTTTTTTTAATTAATTTTTTGTATTAAAAAAATTAATTTAGAAAAGATTTTTATAAAAATACTATATAAAAATATTTAATTATAGTTTTTTTTTATTATATAATAAAAAATTCTTTATAATTTAATAAATAAAGAGTAATATATAAAATAACTTAATAAAATTTTTTATAAGTTTAAATTTAATTTAAAAAAATTTATTTTTTCAAATTTTTAACAAAAAACTTTTTAAAAAGTTTTTAAATTAATTTTATATTAAAATTTTATTTTTAATTATTAAAAATATAAAAAATATTTTTATTATTTAATTAATAAATTTTTTTAAAAATATAAAAATTAAATTATTTTAATTATTATTATATAATAATAAATAAATAAATAAATAAATAAAATTTATAAATTTATAAAATTATAAATAAAATATAATAATATTATAATGGTGACCAAAAGTAATAACTCAGAGACTAAATTTACTAATAAAACATAGTGAAAATTAAAATTTTCTCTCTATATTAAAATTTATAATTTTAATAAGAAA